ATTCTGAAGGCTTGTAGTGTAATTAAAAATTATCAGAAGCTATTCTTTCAATTTTATTTTGGAGTTTCACCGGAATGGTCTTTTTTCAGTTTTGTCCACTGGAGGTTGTCCGTGACATAATTAGCAAGTCAGATATATGAAATTTGTTAATACAAGAGACTCCCGGTATAATTCAGCAATTTTGGTAATAAAACAAATTGTAATATTATAAAGAATAAAAACCTACTGACTACATGGATCTACTAGCCTATTTTATCTGTTTTTTATTTATTTGTTTGTTTTTCTTTATGCATCCACATATAAAGTTGCGAAGTTTGTGCTGTAAGTAGCACTATGTGCTTGGCAGATTGGGTCCAGTTACCAATATATTGTATACTCTAAACAGAAGTAGAGATTGATGAATTTGCTGTCTTTGTCTCCACAGAAAAATCTGAGGGAGACATTTCTATTTCACCTTCTTATGGGTTACCCCATACCTCTCACCATGAATCCTCCAACAACAGACTATTTACCGTCATATCCTATGGAGGTCATGTTCCTTGAGCACAGATAGATGAGGAAAGATCCCCCATCTATCACGTCCCAGCAGAATTTGGTAGAACTAGAAGATGCCAAGGTGCTAACGGTGCTATCTTCACAGGGAACAGCAGCAGCAGGTGGACCCACTCCAGCAGAAATCATCAGGAAGAGCTAGACCAGCCTATAGGATGATTCATAGGCGAGAAAGATAAAGCAGTAGTTGAATCAGGAAGTCTTTTGTCTGAGACCCCAAATGCTCTTCCATGTGGCTTCAGCCATGGCAGAGGAGTGAAAGGAACAGGAGTAGGTGCTTCCAGATGCTAAGGCTGATGGTGGCACAATCTACCCCTCCCTGGGTCCACAATGGTTAGCTTGTAGGAATGTAGCCACAGCACCTGCTAATATAAATTCAGCCAAGAAGACCTTGATTCTTGGGGGAGGAGTTTTTTTTTTAATAAAATTAAAAATATAATATATTATGGGAAAGTAGGACACTTGATTTTTTCTTTTTGACTAGATGCACTTTTTTGTTTTTAAATTTGGAAACAAAATGCTGATAAGTAACTAAAGTTGTGTCTTATGTTTATCCATGGGTTCCAGGGGCTCCTGACATGTTAACTTCTCCAAGACATACAGCTTTGTGGCCTTGTGGCCACCTCTAGTCAAGGGTCTAGCACCAGGGTTCATAATCTTCCACAGGATAATAAAGTAGGCCAGCTGTGGAGAGGAACCTCCACCAGACAAGTTTTGTGTTCTTGAAGGGGAAACTTGGTTTGTAGGGTCTGCTCATTGGGTTATCTTGCTCTATGACTAGGATGATTCCTCATCCCATGGCCTGTGGTTTGCTCTAAGGTCACTGTGGGTGAGAGAGAAGACAGATCTGTGTTCCTGAAAACACAAAGGAGCAATTTCCCTTTTTTGGAAATGGGTCAGGAAGTTGTTAGTAGATTAGTTATTAGGATACTTTGCTGTAGATGAAACTGGGACCATTACTCATTCCAGAGTTGAACAGAGCATAAGCTCATTGTAGGGCCCTTTTAGATAAGGTTCACTGCTGCTGGAAAGATTTCTGGGAGCATTTTATTGCCCATCAGACTCTCTTAAGAAATTTCTCTTTCTGATAGTTAGAAAAAAAACCCAGAATATTCTGAAGGCTTGTAGTGTAATTAAAAATTATCAGAAGCTATTCTTTCAATTTTATTTTGGAGTTTCACCGGAATGGTCTTTTTTCAGTTTTGTCCACTGGAGGTTGTCCGTGACATAATTAGCAAGTCAGATATATGAAATTTGTTAATACAAGAGACTCCCGGTATAATTCAGCAATTTTGGTAATAAAACAAATTGTAATATTATAAAGAATAAAAACCTACTGACTACATGGATCTACTAGCCTATTTTATCTGTTTTTTATTTATTTGTTTGTTTTTTGTGGCTTATATGTTTAGTGAAATTCACTGACTGAAGTAAACAGCCATCTGTTAATGGGACTCCCAGGTGACTGGAAATTTAGTAAGGACCTTCTAGGTCTAGAAAGTTTAAGATTTTTAAACTTAAAAATAGAATAAAGATCATATTAAACTGAAAAATAGAGTGCCTCACTTTTTAAATTGAAAAATCTCAGTGATTCAGTCAGAAAGAATAGAAATGAAAAAGATTTATAAAGAATTCCCACTAGTGCAACCGCAAGTTAATTCTTGCTTTCGGATTTAGTTACATCTAACTCAGTGACTTCCTGAGTTATCACTAACTCTGCGAAGTCCCCTGTGATCCTTTCCCTCACCTCTGAATCCTGACTCGCTTTCCTCTTTTCTCACCCTCAGAAGTGTTCCAATCTCTTTTCATGAACTGCATTCCTTGCAAGATCTTTCTTTTACTCCTTCTCACCTTGCAGACCAAGTTTCTCTGAGTATACTCAGCTGTTGCTCTGATAAAGATCAATCTTCTTAACCAAAGGACCTTCCTAACCCAGCCTTCTTAACAGAATAAAAAATAGCACAACTGAGAATAAGCACATTAAACAGATATAGCCTGTCATATCCTGAATTCACATTTCTCATAGGCTGCCTGTATAAGTACAATTTGGGTAGGGTAAGGTAGGTGCTAGGTAATAAAAGGATGCAGAAAATCCCACAACATACTAAATACATAGTATCTGGCATGAATGTCCATCAGGATATTGTATTGTAGTCATGGAAAAGGGAGTTACCTGTGACATGTCTTGTTTTACATATGTACTTTGTTTAGGTAGTCTTTCTTGAACTACTGTCCAGAGTTGGACCGGTACCTAGCATTTGGTTTAGAGTCTCATCTACTTGGACAAAGACTATAGTAGCTGATAGCAGAAGTTTTGCTTCTTAGTTATTATATTGTGTCTCGTGTATTTACTGTCTTTTTGTCTTTTCTTTTGTTCTGAGAGCAGGAAAAAAAGACTACTTTTTTGCTTTTGAGCTGCCATGCAGGGAGGCAGGTGGAGCTGCTTGGAGAGAACGGCACCTTCTGTGAAAGCACTTTAGCATATACAGAGCAGCTTCTAAAATGCTGAGCGCAGCCATGAGTGAATAGCCCATGAATATTTGAGGCATAATAAGCAGGGAGCAGACTAAAAGACTTGTGAACTTGCTCGGCAAGTCAAGTCTTGGAGGTGGCTCAGAAAATGACAGAAAACTGCTGAACTGGAAAGCAAGTCTGTAAGGACAGTGTAGTGGCAGGGACATTTGTTATTTAACCTTTTATTCTAAGTTTTACCATGCAGCAGATGTCAGTTTTCTCTATTTAAAAAAAATAGTTTATTCTCATGTAGTATTTTGTGTTCTAGTAAAACCTGGATTTAGAGATTTGGAAATCTCTAAAATTCATGTGTTCGATATGTTCAATTAACAGGAGAGGTGGGATAATTCCATTTCAAGAATCTGACTGACTCATGGACTTATCATAGTTTTGTGCTGCAGGAGGTAATGAGGTCTCCAATTGGCAGGTTCTTCAGTGGATAATTTAATGGCAACTATTTTATTCAACTATTCAACTAATTTATTCAAATATTCAAATGTTTATATAAAGAATGTAGAAGTTACTTCCAGCAAGTCCAAACAGATTTTTGTGTTCGTTTACATGAAACTATCCACAAAATGTTGTGGTTAGTTACTATAATTGGTGCTTGGGTTAGACATACATAAGTAAACCATATCCATGCTATCTAAATATCTAAATGTTTTGTTAAATAAATATAAAAGTGCAATTAATTAAATAAAAAACAATCAGCCAGCTTCCATGGCCATCAGAGATATGAAGTCATTATAAATGCCTCTTGCTGGTATCATTTAAAGGCATACAGAAATGACTGCAAATGAAAACATGCTGAAGCTTCAGAACTTAGGGTATTATTCTGAGACCTAAGCATTGATCTGACAGAGATTTGTTATGGAGAAAATGAGCTTTTGTTGAACTAACTTCCGTTTTGCTAAATCCTTCAGATTTGTGGAATAAATACATATGAAAATATATGGCCGAGAGTGACTTTTTGACTTATGTGATGTTAGACTTGAAAAACCTATTAATGTGAAATGATTTACAGGCAATTTCAGGTGACTTCTTCACACAGAAGAAAGAGTTTTCAGTGATGATGAATACAATGCTGTGAAATTGATTTTTATGTACTTTATTGATAAGTAATTGTATGAAGTATATTGTTGGAGCTATATGTTAAGATTATACATTTAGGAAAAATTATACAACGATGTGACTTTGTGCTGTTTCCATTATAAAAATGTGTTATTACATACAGATTCATTAAGCTAACCTAGAGTCGCATTAACCAGTAAAGCAAAATCATGATGTATAACTGTTAAAGAAAGAGTTACCTCAGAGAGGCTATATATTTTTGAGGCTATAATAGTGCATTATTAACATTGCAAAATGACTCCTTGCTTTTAATCTCTCAGGTTCAAAAGGTACAACATACTTCAGCATAATTGGCACTTGTAAGAAAAGGATATATCCATTAATAAAGTGTACGTATGTGTACAGTTAGTACTTGCCTGAGAGGTTCTTATTACCTTTGTCTATAAATACAGTCCAGGGTTATACTGTAGAGTGAGATTTTCAATAGTGAAGAAGAAATGTAATCATTAAATTAATGGGATTTGGGTAACTGAATTACTTACTTGTCTTTAAATATGTCATTCTCAGTGCAAAGAAGGTTTAATACTGATAACAGTTAAGCATATTAGAAGTTCCCATGAAGGTAGTCTCTATATAATGATGTCCAGCTGCTTTTGTCTTTCTAGATATAGAAAGCGTAGCATATGATCAGATCCATTTTATTGGCTGTCATTCTAAAATGCAAACAGTACTTCTCTTTTGATTTGGTGATTTATAATGAGAGTTCTCATTATGTTATCCTTTTTCAGCAGAAATAGCTATTGTGATGTAATATAATATAATGTATTAACATGAACAGTTATCTTTCATGATCTGATTTCCAGGTTCTCCTGGACCATCTAGCGATCACAGCAGTGGAGCTTCATCACCTCTCTTTGACAGTGGCTTACATTTAAATGGAAACTCAGCTAACACGGTAAGCAAATTAGTAATAAAAACATAATGTAATCTGTGTAAGTTCCCTTTCCGTTCTGAGCCTCAGAATGTTAATATAGGACTATCCTAAGGATTTTTATTCAATTAATTTAAGTGCATATACTATAAGATTCTGAACTTACAATGTAACCAACATGGGCTCTTGAATTACTAGGTTCTAATTCTGAGGCAACTGAGAAGCTCGTAAGGATGACCACAGTAAGACTGGGTCACTGTATTGGGGGATGTGAGTTCATGTTAACTTTTGGCATGTTTTATTGGATTTAATATAGGTAAAGATGCTGACATAAGTATCAAATTCGGAAAAGAATGTAAAGATTGAATTACTGAACCAAACTTTCATGACAGGAAAGAAAGCAAGTAAAAAGAGAAAGAAATGAAATGGGAAAGCAGACTTAGGGGAAAAAATTCAGTTCTTTAATCTGAAAGGTAATCGGTTCTTTTCTCTTCAGCAAACAGCTATAATTGAAGCATACATAGCATTATGAGGGTGTTTTTTTTTTCCTGTTGGAAGGAAAAGGACCAGCTGGCAAAGCCAAGGACGATAGGTTGTCTTAGTAGGTGGACATGTTGCTACCTTCATTCTTAAAAGTAAGAATGAAGATGGAAATAGCGGCTGTACAAGGAGGGACCTTCATGATAACAACTCCTTAGTTCCTAACTAATTGCAATTGTAGTTTTTTCACTTGGATACTACATTTTACAGAAAGTAAATCCAGAGAATGAAGTGCAGGTTTCTTCTTCTCTCTTTTTCCACCTTTTGTTTTTTTCTGACTCAGCAAAAGATATCAGTGTCTGCTGCCTGCCATAGACTTCTCCTTTTGCTTTGCACTTTTCTGAGCAGTGTCTCCCTAAATTAATCCTTAAGGCCGGTTTTCATCTGATCAAAATTCTGAGATTCATTTCTGCTGTGCTACGTGTAACTTAGGGCCTAGGGTCCACTCACGTGGCACAGTATAATATGTTGTAGAGATATTGACTTGTATCATATAGAAAGTAGTTTAGTCATTTTAGCATAAAGTTGTTTCTGCCTGACATACTATTTTCAGTTCTGGTGCTAGCTTGCAGTCCTCTGTTAGACATATCTTTATGAGCATTGCTGTACAAGGTCTGTTGTACGTGGCATGGGGTAATCATCTTCAGGTTTGATATGCAATCTTCCTACAATATTTGAGCAATATGCAGTATAGCAACAGACAGGTTTTTCAGTAGTGCATCATCAAAACAGAAAAGCTTTTCAATGAGCCATTACCTCAGTAGTGACTCCCCAAAATCACAGTATCTATATACTTTCTGGAGTATAGAAAAATGAGCTGAAGTGCCCTCTTTACCTCTAATTATTTTATGCTTTGTCACTGCGACAAATGCTATAGGGATTGGTAGTGACATACATTCATCTGTATATGATATGTGTTTTATTGAATAGAACGTGAAATCTCAGAGGGAACCACAAAAGGTTTGGTCCTCAGTGCTAAAGAAGGGGCTTGGCTCAAGGCTGGTGATTACAGGTCATGTACCTCAACGATTCTAACTGCAAAACAGCGGAGAAAATGCAATATGGATATTCTTGCTATCCGGATGTCCTAGATTTCCAGGCCTGCCCACTGGAGAAAAAGCAAAAGCCTGAAATAGCTTTTAATAAAGACATATAATGAATATATAATAAAAACACCATTGAATTATTCAATAGGATAGTTGCCAGGTACATGGGGAGAATATGGTCACTTTTCACTTGTTTGAAAATCCAGCTTCCCTGAGATAAGGTAAATGGTCTAAAAGAGGTACTCTGATAACTGAACTGAGAGCAAAGTAGACCATGATTTTCTATTTGTTCATGTAATTTAAGAACTCTAATTAAATTTTGATAAAATGTATGATGTGTTTGGTTGGTTAGATGACACTAAATAAGCATTTAAGATTTTCTAAATTGCTTTAAAATCTTTTTTCCTTCGTTACTTTGTTTCATCTATTAGTTTAAAATGCTTTGCATTAAGAAAGACATTATCTACTTCATTACCTGCTACAGCTTATTAAAAAGGAAAAATACAGAAGTCCAATAGTTGGTGGGACCTGTAGTGTGCTAAACGTTTAGTGTACTATGCAAGATCTCGATTTCAGAGTGAAAAAAAGGTATGGCTCACTCAAGCCTGTAAAAGATAAAAAAGGAAGAGGCTCCAAGAAAGGGGATGGACACTCCGATACAGACAGTAAAAGCTAGGCTGATGGATACTTCTAGTAAGTGATCAGGCTATTGAATTGAGATCCAATTGCTGTCTTACATCTAAAGCTTCAGTGGTTTTGTTTTTTGATTCCTTGTATGGTATCTTCCAAATCAGTATGAACACACTATTTATCATTCTAAAGTTTTATTTTATTCTCCGTTTTTGCCATCCTGTAACTCACTTTGAAGAAGAAAAAGTTTCCAGATTTCAGATCAATACTTTTTCTATTAGAATGGTTTAGCATGTGATACCAGACTCTGCCACCTCTTGATCTGAAAATCCATGATTTTCTCACTGAGAATGAAAGCATTATAGGTATAGATCTTGAGGCTTTAAATTGACTTCCAATTCACACTGCATCATTTAGTAATGTATGTGCATAAAATGTAACAAATACAAAGAGTAGCTCCCTTACTTAGAGGGCCAGTGCTGGTTACTGTCATGAAAGTAATCATCATTATCTCCATGCCTTCCATTTGCTGAACAGAAAAGGAAAATGTTGCAATAGATGAGCATAGCTAGGTGCACTTAAATATTTTGAGCTGCTGCTGGTCTGAGGGCCTATAGGAAATGGCACACACTGCAAATAAGTGTGCTCCTTTTACTTCATGAATAAATTTGAAATGGTTGTCTCTTTTCCCCATACACCGAAAAATAATCTCAATTTTTTGTTCTGATTGTACCTTTGAGGAATAGTAGTAGTAGAACAATAGGCTGGAAAAAGCCTATTATTTAATGCCTTCCTACTCTACTAATATAGAATTGTATATGAAATTATTTTGATATTGAGTAACAAAATTGTTTAGCTTAGATTTAGATGTTCAAAAACACTGTATGTCTCTGGTTTGGATTAGAGTTGATTGGGACTTTCACTATAACATTACTGAAGTAAGTAAATAGTATCTTTAAAAGTCTTATCTCTTAGTTGCATTGATCCCCACTGTCACTGTTAATCCTTTCACCATATTTCTTCTAGTATCGGAACTAATTGTTGTTTGTCATTTCTTCCACGCAGAAATTAAACATTTTTTAATTTCCTTTTGAAGTTTAAGTCAAATATGTTTTTTTATATAATTTTTTTAACTTAGAGCCTTAGCAAAGCCTGATGAAAGGAAATATGGAATTGGAAAAGTCTTATTAGCTGCTAAATAAGTAAAAACAGAGCGATATTTATTGTTTTATTATATTAAGTACTAGTAAAAAAATATACACTTAAAACTTTTTAAATTGATCTGATGTTCACACAGGAGAAAGGTTAACATTTTTTAAGTAGGGCTTGCCTTGTTTTTATTTCCATTGGAAAAGAAATCAGACCAAAAAAGGTCAGATAAAAGGTTCTGCCTTTGCTCAGTCTTTGTTGAGACTTCAAGCCATAAGCATAACAAAAAAGTGCAGCAGTGAAACTATGGAACTAATATGCCAAGCAGAAAACAATAACTTGAGTTGCATTTTGTAGCTATTCTGATTTCATTTATTATTTCCACATATTTTTCCCATAAACAGTTCTTTCTTGTTGTGAATAAGCTGCTTGTTTGTCATATTTTTTACAAATTTTGTTCATTTTATTGTTCATTGGCAGGACAAAGAAAATGGCTTAGAAGACGAATAAAGCTTAGTTTATTACTTGGCTTTTTATCCTTGCTCATATAACTGGGGTTATTTTCTTTATGCTTGTACTTCTCCTTTTTTTTAAATGTCATTTACAATTGAAATATTTTGAGTCAGTTTGCCTACTTGATGGATCCTAGGGAGCGACTTGTCTGACTGGTCACTAGGAATCCACTTTAGGGTAAGTTATATTGCTCTGTAGGTTCACAAATAGATAAAGGAGTTCTATGGAGTGGGATGTTATATTACAGAATGATGATCAGGCCTAAGATATGGAGGAGTCCAGGATGAGAGTTCTGGATAAATTAGACACTAGATTTTTGGACAAAATCATCTCTCTTTTCTGTCAATATCTGTTCTCCTGCCTATGACTAGAAAGTTGCAAAATGGACCACTTCAGATCCAAACTAGATTGTAAAGAGAAGTCATAAATTTGAAACACTATTTTAAGATTAAGCAAACAAACTACTGACAATTTCTCACCTGTTGGCGATGTGGTGAACAATAGGATCAGCAACCTTTCAGATGTCTTAGCAGGGAGCATCAGAAGTTCTTGGGAAGAGGGAAACACATGTGGTAGGATTCCTGGGATTGAAGAGTAAATGAGGAAGCTGAAACGTTATTCAGAAAAAAGTAAAAGGAAGCATTTTATGTATCTATATGTATATATAAGAAAGATCCACCTATTGTTGCCCCAGTCAGTGTAGGTCATTGTTCTAAATACCAAGCCCTTATAATGATCAGCATGGAAATAGAGAAGCAAATAGTGATGGCTTGCATCTTAATATGAGTGAAAGACGCAGCAGAGGTAGTTTCAAAGTTTGCTGGGATCTCTGGCTGTTCAGGTGTAGGCTGTAAATGGCCTGTGCAGAAGTAGTAAAACAGAGGCAACAGGTTCTCTCACAAGATTCTATCCGGTATCATTCCTCAAGTCCCCAAGGATGTGCAGTTCCTCAGACAGTGTGGAGTCACAAAACTTTGCCTACCCATCAGCTACTTTTTCTGTGCAGGGACAGCACTCCTCATTTGAGGATGTGAAAAGCTCCCCAAAACTGTCTGCAATAGCTGAAGTGTGGGTATATTCACATTCACAGTAAAATTTCATGTTAACCTCAACATTATTTTCTTTACTGTTCTGTTCCTTATATAT